CCCCCCCCCCCCCCCCCGGATAGCAGTAGAAGGTTCCCTGCTGTGCCCGTGTGGTTTTGGGATCATTATTTTGGGGTGACTGATGCAGTTTATGCGTTACATATGTCTTGGCTCCTAATTCAGGGCTTTTGCAGTCACGCTATTAGCACCTCAGTGCTTTAATGCATCTGTCTCATGGTTAAGCCCCAACCTACGCAGTGTCGAGGCTTATGGAAGCAGGTGGGTGAAAAAGACGCAGAAGGGCAAAAGAAAACTGGGAACTAGATGTAACATTAAGAAAAGCATTTGAACAGTAGAAAAAAAAAGAATAATGATGTAAAAATAATGAGCAGTAATGATTTCACTTAAAAACCCCACAGATCTACTCAAAATAAGGGCCTGGCTCTGCCAGCCTTTTCAGGATGAAATGCACATTGTAGCAACTGCTGGCAGGGGAAAGTGCAACTCGGTGTGAGTAAGAGAATGAGAAATGTGCAGAGGCTACACACGTACCAGAAATCAAGAGTGACATGACATTCGTATGGATTGCAAGAATATTCAGCATTATTGCAATTAATGGTGAAAAAGAACTGTTGAGAGAGCATTAAATCTTGTGCTTCAAGGACAGCTTCTAACAACAAAAGGCCAAGAGGAAATTTAATAGGGCGGAGCGAATTACTCCCGAGTATATTCCTACAAGAACTTTACATCTTCCCCTGAAGTATCTGATGGTGGCCAGTGTCAGGGATCAAATGCTAGACTGGCAGGATCTTCTGTCTGCTTTAGTCTGGCAATCCCTAAAAAGGCTGGATTTTAAAAAGTTGGTGACAGTTGATGTCTAGGTTCTTTTTACAGAGTATAAATTTAGCATCCTCCTTCTGAATTAAGCATTTAGGTGGCAGAGTTAATGTTATATCAATTCAAATGAAAGACGCTAGGAGAAAATAGAAGGGGAAAAGATTAATATTTGAAAATTAGAAAGTAATTTTCAGTAACAGAGGTGGACGGCTGGTTGAAAAACGCATAAATTAAGACCTACAGAAAAAAAATTGCTCCTCACAGAGAAGTCATTAGGAGTGATATAATAATTTACATTTTACATAAGTGACATTCTTTTTACATTTTTTTTTTTCCCTTTTCCACTAAAGGTTACATCCCTAAGCATGCAATTCAAACTGCTATCACTTTGCATTGATATTGATGAGGACTGCAGGCACTCAGCATCTCGCTGTAGGTGTTTGTCGTGTTGGACCTGGCCTTTGTTTTCACAGCCAGCAAAGCAACAGCAAAAATTGCACCGGCTGCAGGGAAGCAGAATTTGTTCCTGCCAGCCAGGCATAACTTAGCTACAGGATTTATACTGTATACACACAGGGAGAATCTTCTGATTTATTTCAGGTAACAAAGATGTCTTTTTCCAGCCATCTCCATCCATATGAATATTTGAAAAAATATAAGCAAGAGAGAGGCCCGGTCTCCTGAACACATATATCCTTGCAGACCCTTGCCTGACCCCAAAGTTACGCTCTCCTGTCACTGACCCATCTAATCACCTTTGTGCTGCTTTCTCAGAAAAGGCCTGGGAAAACCCATCAGGTTTGCAATGTAATCTGAAGGTCAACACATTTTCATTTTCGTGGCCATTTCTTTCTTTGACCAAGACTTAATATCCGGTCACTCAAAAAAAGCTACAGTTTATAAAGCTGTTATTTTCAGAATTTGAAACAACATTCAAAATTTTGTGTAATTAACTAGCGGTCTTTCTGTCTGAGTCTAAGAGGAATTAGAACAATAATTTTTGCAGAATAACACAGGAATTTTCTTTTTGTTTAACAGCAAAGAAGAAATATTGGGAACATCTGATGATGACACATGGAATAATTCAAGGATTTCAGGTACAACACCCCGTTTAATTAGTTCTTCCTTACTGCACATGTTAATTAAAAAATAGTGTAACAAACAACTTCATGGAAATTACTCAAGTATGTTTTTGTTAACTCTTCAGACACAAACATCCCAGAGATTGTTTATTCACAAGCAGAAGACAAAGACACCAAACCAGCTAATGAAAATATACAAGATAAAAATGCAGAATACAACCGGGATGATCACGAAGATGATGAAAAAGAATTAGAGTTGCTGGTAAGTGTTATACAATTATATCTACAGTATTAAATGATTTGAATCCATTTACGCTTCAAAGCTGGTGAAATGCCCCCTTTTAACAGCTGACTGATGTACTAATTTACAAATGTAAAGCCTTGGTCTGTACTTTCATTGAATCTCTAACTGATTTAACAATAGAAGGTGCTTTGATTTCAGTATAGTGCATCAACTTTTTCTGGTCTTAAATTAATGACTTCTCCCTTTTACTTCTTTACCAGAGGCTCTAAATGACAGTTTGAAGGAATTAGAAGGGTAGCATTTCAAAAATCTCCCCTCCTAGTCTTTAGGACGGGAAAAATCTTAAATAAATGCTTTATATTTGGTAAAATTCTTCTATTTATGGTACTGTTTGCTTTTGGTTTTTTTCAAAGGATAACTACGTAACATGCTATATGAGCAAAATAAATAAATATATATATTTAGATTAGCAGATTTTTCTATATCCGTATTTGACATTAATTTTTGTGTAATAAATTTCACACTCAGTGAACAGTCAGTCTATTTGGATTTGTGTGTGTGTATGTGTGTGTGGATTGGCTTGCATTTTTCAGTATGAAAGAAAAAATGGCAATAAATGAGACACGTACAGCAATCTATTATTCTCAGTGTCTGTTCTCAGCTCATATCATTTGGGTGCATAGATTCATAATCACAGATTATAATAGCTATCACCTGTGAAAATGTGAATGCTGAATCAGACAGGAGAGGAAGATGAGAACCATCCTTTTTTTTCCCTTATTGATAGAGAATAAATTCCTTTTATTTGAATATGATTTTTTCTTGTCTTTTACTTAAAAAAAGTTGAAAATTTTTGCCAATTGTGGGACCTTTCACTGCCTGAAAGTCAACGTCTCCTTTTTTTTTCTTTTTAATGGTGAAACATAAAAAGGAGGACCTTTAAAATCCCTTGTTGTTTGCAGTCCACCCCGTTACAAAAAGCAGGATCAAATATAACCGTTTGTTTATCAATTGCCAGGATTGTCCGTACAATAAATGAAGGGGGAGCTATAATTTAGATGTTAATTTGGACTATGCACTCTTTAATGAATTAAACAATGAAGGCTTATAATAGATGGAAATACAACCAAATCTTTGAAACGCACAGGCATTGGCTCACAAGACAGCTGTGCAGTTGACAAGTAACATGAGCCTTATGTGAGAAGAAGGGGAAATCGTAAGATTTGCATATAATTATTGAGATCATGCAAATGTCAGTTATGAGGAGGGGAAAAAAACACAGGCATCTCACTGTTAAATCCTGACAGTTGGCATCACCGAAGAACTCAAATACACTTGAGCACTGGTTGGCAGAGGGTCATTAAAACAGAATTTGCAGAGACATTAGCTCCCTCACTTTTCTTTGAGTGACGTTTTACTATTAATAGTTTGCAGAGGCTTTGCAGAAAACATATTAATAAGAGAAACTGTAATGGGGGTATCTGCAGCAAGTGCAAACGCATAAAGGGGTGCCCAAGAAGGTAGCCTCTAATTGATCAGCTAGTGCTATCAGTGTGACGATGCTGAAGTGAGAAGAGAGTGCAATGACAAGCAGGCATAGCTGAATAATACAATATGATATTTGGGAGCCAGGAGGGAGAGTGATTAGTTTCTGGCCTTTTACTTCGCTAATCTCATTTCCAACTCGTGTCTTACCAGATTGTCTAAAAACAGTCTGGTTTGAAGCCTGTAAAATGGTCCCTGAGAGAAATGAAGCACAGATAATCCTTATAGTATTTGTCAGTGTGAAATGTGTCTTTGTTTTACTGGACAATACTGTACATTACCAGGCTTTGATGTACTGTATCAATGCCTTCATTTAAGCGCCAGTCCTCCCCCCTTCGCCCCACAGCTCCCTCTCTCTCCAAACCTAGAACCGAATGTATAGAGAATGAATTAGCCTCCCTTTAAGGGAATATTCTCTTCAGATTTAATTTGTATAAAATGCAGTAGCAGCTTACTGAACTCATGAATAAAGAAAGAGGGTTCTGAATGCTATTTTATTTCCTGCTCCTTTCAGCACCACTGTAAAGCTCATTACCTATGTTAAAAAATACATACAATGCAAATTTTGCAAATGGTTTGGAACATGTTTCCATAAAAGCTTTGTTACTGAAAACAAAACTTTCCATAATGAAACCCTGCCTCCTCCATTTGGCATTTTTTTGCAAAGCACTTTTTGATCATTCTTTTCTATTCTATTGTTTCAGCTAAATCAGCACTTCACAGGAGCTAGAGGTACCTCTTCCAGAGATGAAAGGAATTTATACACAACAGAACCAGTTAATTTTCCAAGTGAAACGGAAAGATTGGAGAAAAAGCTAGCCTGTATAGAAATAAGCAGTGACTTGCACCCTGTGCCTATCAGTTCCTCATCTGAAAAGACTTCACAAGAGATAGGAGGAGAATTAAAAGATAAAGTTAAGTATTCCCTAAGAGATTATAATAGTCAGCCATCAGGGAAGGAAGTCGCTGCTGGCTCGGTAAACAGCGAGTCTTTGGAATGTACTGGTACCAGTGAAAGCCTTGTATCGGAAAAATGTTTTCCTGGGACAAAGCAGAATGAGGCTATCGCTATTACAGCTACTGTCTCAAGCCGACAAGGCGAGCGCCACACAGATATTTCAAAAGGTGAAACAGATAGTGCCTCGGGAAGTAGGATGATGGAGAGGTTATTCATCAGTGAGGATGCTGCTGATACCTCGAAAGGGGCCTGTGAAATGAGACCAGAAACCATTTCTCCAGAGCATGATGAATCCATGCAATTAAATGCATGCATGGGAGGGATGCTGGATGGCAATGCTAATCCAGCTCCGGAGCACCACCCGCCACAAGTGTCTCACCAAACTCTGGATTCATTGTTGTCAGACGCTGACGAAAATGAAGGAAAAATCAAGATGATTGAAAGCAAAGTTCAGGTACATTTAAGAGGAGATTTATATGCCGATGCTTTTGCGCAAGCTGATGTCTCAATAGATTCCACAAAAAGCCAATACATGGAAAAAAAAGGAGTTGGTGAAATGTCAGGAAAGGACTACAACACTGATGCAAGGAAGGAGAAGAAAGTCATTGAAGTAGCAGACTTAGCACTAATCGGCGAGGAGGAAGCACCCAAGCCTTTCAAGTCACATAGAAAACACGCTACCAAAGCGTTGAACACAACGCCTCTGTCAGCCGAAGACAACAAACAGGCACCCAGGCCTACACAGACAGATGCCCTGGCATCCTCTCCGGGCGATGAAAGGAGAGCTGAAGACACTTGGGAACACAGGGGATTCACGAGGTTAAAAGACAGAGGAAAGTCAGACAACACGAATAAAGGAAGACTGATAGGAAAGGAAAGCAGAGCAAACCCGGCAGAGCAGAGGTGGCAAGAAACGGGGAGCGAGGTTCGGTGGGGAGCGAGGGGGAGCACAGGGCCTCGGAGTATGGCTTCCACAAAGGAGCTGTTTACCTGCCAGGAGGCAGAGAGTTGTGAAAAGTCTTCTGTCTCCGAGCAGGGTATTATAGAGGAAGCAGAGGCAGGTACAGCTTATATAATTAAAACAACATCAGAAAGTGCTCCAGAAAAAATGTCTGCCAGTGAAAAAGCAGTAATTGCTAAGCTACCTCAAGAGACTGCGCTAAGTGACAGGCCCACAGAGGAAAAGGAAACAGCGTTTGATACACATGAAGGGAGAAATGATGGTTCACATTATGCTCTTTGTCAACTCAACACAGTGGGTGTATTATATGACACTGAATTTGAAAAGGAATCGGTTTTAGGTATTTATAATGCACGCGTACATGAAACACTGCAAGGAGAAACGATGTCTGTATGCAATAGCAGGGAAAAACGTGCCAAAGCACAACCAGACATTGGCAATATTCTACCTGTAGGAGAAGTGGTAAAGCCTTCTGCTACAGGAAAGAAAGAAGATTTGCAGCAGGATTTATATTCAGAAGTATCTAAACGTCCCCTGAGCACCCAGAAGCATCTATACAGTGAGGAAGCAGAAGAGCTCTATAGGGAAGAAAGCCATGTTGGTACACTTTCCTATTTACGAGCTAAAGCTGAAACAAAAATGCCACCTTCTGGTACAAATGCTGTGCCCAGTTACCATTGTAAAACCTCTTCAGTGGCATCTTCTGAAGGGTCCACTGTGGCAGGAGATACGGAGCATCTGTATAGACACTTTGAATTCAAAGTCATTGACAAGGTTGCTGCTGAGTCAGGGTACGATTTAAATCTACCGAATGAAATGACATGTATTAGTAAAAACCTCTCTCCTGAAGCTGAAGGAAAAGAAGTGCCTTCCACTTCAGAGGTACCAATTTCTAGAGAAGGAGGAGGAAGGAGTATAGATCAGTGTTTCCATCAAGCAGAGCTCAAACAAGAGAAGTCATCGAGGCCAGAGGCTGTAATTAGTAAGTCTATAGAAGAAGTTAGAGGGACAGGCTCTCAATCTGACCATTTAATAACTGAGGGGAAAACATTAAACTGGCTTGATGACTCACAGAAGGAAAGCCAGCACATTTCTGATTCTGCAGGTATTTCTAACCAGGAGAGTGAAGCACTTAAGTTACCTAGTGAGTCTCCAAGTTTAAAACATATTGCTTGCAAAATCTTCTATTTCTTCTTCTTTATTCTGTTTGCTGCAACACTCTACCACTATGATTTGATGGTTTGTCTTGCACTCTACCTATTCTCCTTATATTGGCTATACTGCGAAGGAGGAAGAGACAAGGAGTCTATCAAGAAGGAATAACATTGTTTGATTGTCAACTGTGCTCAAGATCCACGGTCAATAGTCTCCAATCCCTCCAAAGCATTTTCACTGTTAAAGAGCTTATTCATTGTTAGAACCAAAGCAAGTTTTCCACTGAAGCATCTTTTTTAAAAAATTACATATGAAGCTGAGCCTTCATATAAGTAATTATACTATATAGGACCATTATGTTTGGATCATTAAATACCTATATGAATAGGAGTTCTGAAGCACGTCAAGTTAAAATGAAGTACAGCTGTTGCTCCTTAGCAGGATGTGAAGAAGCAATGCTTCATATCTCTTTAGTACTTAAACCCACCGTTTTCTTGCATTAATTTCTTTTGCAGTAGAGCTTCATATTTTTCTGGGAGTTTTTTTCTAAGATTTTTGTGTAGTACATAACAACACAAGGAACGATACAAAAACTAACTCAGTATTTTGGTACTGACATTGCAGTTGATAATCTGCTGGTGTAATTAGCCAGTGCTCTAAGAAATACGACATCTGTTGATAGGTTAATATTTTTTCCCAAATTTCTATTTCATTGTTTCAACTTAGAGCTCCAGTGGTACCCCTGTTTGAAAAATGTAAGGCTTTGACTTCAGTAACATCATGTAACTTTTGGGATGTAACTGCATAGCAGAATAGGTGTGCTGTTTCCACTCTGAAGAGATTGAAGGCCACAGCCACAGGCCTCTTACCATTCACTCACGTGCACGAATGTTTTTGGTTTCTGTAAATGAGGACTGTGTAACATGACTGAGAATTTCACTGAACTAAGTGTTATTCCAGACAAAGCCTTTGAATGACCTTTTTTCATCAGTGTTGCTTGAGCATATCTACAAAGCATTAAATAAATTTTACAAAGGAGTGCTGTGACTGTGTTGAGCATGTCTGAATTAGGTTTACCGCTTTTTTCTATGGCTTGCTACCTAGAGCTACTCAAACACCAAGAGAAAACACAGGGCAAAGCCCTGGTGTTCAGTGGGGCTGCTTTGTGTGGTTTGAGTGAGGCAGAAAAGCCTGGTATCTGCCCTAAGGAGAGCCCAGACTAACCCCGCACAGCAGGAGTTCTGTGGGGCAGGCATGCTGGCAGCTCTGCTGCTCCAACATTGCGGGTCTTCCACGTAGGGTCATGCCCAAAATTTATCCGGAAAGAAAAGGATGGAAAGATTATGTTGCGCTTCAGCCATTTTCCAGATGATGGTCACAAATGCCGTCATAGGTAATATGTTAAAAGAAGCACCAAGGCTACATAATGTTACTGGAGCCCTAGAATTTAAGAAGGAAAAAAGAGTTGTGTTTGTTTCTCCTTACTGCCACTGTGAAATACCACATCAACTGTGAACAGTTTGGGTGCAATATATGGCTGAAGCTACAAAATAATGAAGTTATTTAGATGTTAGCTTAGCTCTGAAATAAATTTTTTAAAGTCCATTTAAAACTTATTCACATGTTTCAGGATGTTAGGAAGCTCTGCCACAGGATTTTTTTTTCCTGTTCTCCAGGGGGGCAAAACTTTGGAGCATTGTGGGAGCGGTGCATTCAGTGGGGTGAGCAAGTGTGTGGGTGATCTCTTGCTGATGTGCGTGCTGACAGCTGGATACCTTGACAACTTTTGACAGCAATCCATGAATGAGTTATAGTGATGGGCTAAAGGCGTTAAGGAGAGACACGGAAGGCTGTGTCCAGATGTTCAAAAGTATATAGGAGGAAAATGTTCATTGAGATAAAGAAATTAATTCAATAGGCATTAGGAGCTAGATCCAATAAAAAGCTTAGGCTTAGACTTAAAGCGGGATTGAGGTTGAATCTGTGTAAGTCCAAAATAATGATCGTAAACCCTTCTTTACCTGGAGACCACAAATGCTTAAAGAACCTAGCCTTTTCGTGATGTTTATAGGCACTTTTAAAAAAAGCGTGACATTCGCTTACCTTGATGGTTCGTTCTCTGCAGTGTGAGAAGTCCCTGGTCTAAGTGGTTCAGAATTTCAGCCTTACTGGGGTAGAGATGTCATGTGTTGCTTCACTTCCCAGTACAGTGGAAGCTCTCAAATAGTGTCTAATATATGCTGACAGGATCAAGGTCCTCAGTTAGAGGGCTAAAAAGGTGAAGAAAGCACTCTGGAT